CAAGGTGGTGATGATGTGGCTCAAAAGCCAACCCATGCCATCGCCAACGTGCCCGGAGCTCTTGGAGAAGAGCGTCACGGTGCTTTTCCCACAACAACCGGAAGTTCAGCGTGCCGACAGACGAGGAAAATACTTGATGCCACCAATTACTGAGGATGAGCTGATGGAGGCGTGCGCTAGGGTCGGGAATACAAAGACCCCCGGGCTTGATGAGATTCCCAACATTGCGCTGCAAGCCGCTATCCACGCGATGCCGGGCCTCTCCCTGGACGTGTACAACGAGTGTCTCAGTGAGGGCGCCTTCCCTGCAAAGTGGAAGCAGCAGAGGTTGGTGCTGTTCCCGAAAGGGAAAAAACCACCGGACGAACCTCGATACAGCTGGTAAGATACTCGAGCGCATCGTTCACAGGAGAATAGAAGCAGTAGTTGAACCATTGCTCGCCAACAACCAGTACGGCTTTCGGAGAAGCCGATCCACCCTTGAAGCAATCAATCTGGTTGTTGATACAGCTAGAGAAGCGATTTCAGGAAAAAGATGTGACAGGGGCACGAAGAAATACTGCTTAGTGGCAACATTGGACATCAGGAACGCCTTCAACTCAGCCAGATGGGACTGCATTATGGAAATATGATTAAAAACTATCATTATATTTTACTGAAAAGAATTATTATTATTTCAAATTATTGATTTTTCAGTTTTATAACTATAACATTTTATTATTATTATTAAGCCCTCGAGAGTTTCGGTGTGCCTGAATACCTTCGGAGGATAGTAGACGATTATTTCGCCGGGAGGGATCTCAAGTACGACACGGAGTGTGGCCCCAAAGAGTACAGAGTCACTGGAGGAGTGGGTGCCTCAGGGCTCAGTGCTGGGTCCTCTTCTGTGGAACATCATGTACTATGGTATGCTGAAGTTGACACTACCACCTGATGTGAGTCGCGTAGCTTTTGCGGACGATGTGATCGTGGTGATCGTGGGAAAACACCTGGAGGACATCAAACTTGTCTTCGAAGGAACTTTCGGTGCGGTTCACCGTTGGATGGACTCAGTTGGGCTGAGCCTGGCTGAGCATAAAATCGAGGCCGTGTTGATCACGAGCAGATAGGTCTTAGAGAAAATCACGTTGCAAGTCGGGGACTGTGAATTCACATCTCAGCCGTACATCCGATATTTGGGAGTGATGATTGATGCCCGGCTCAATTTCAAACAGCAGGTGGAACATGTGACTTCCAAAGCAACTGGAGTTCGAGCTACCTTCACGCCTCATGCCTAACATTGGAGGCCCCAAGCAGAGCAGCCGAGCGTTACTGTCGTCGGTGATTATGTCAGTACTCACCTACGGCATTAACATTTGGGCGGATGCGCTCCAAGTACAGGAGATCCGACGCAAAGTGGCAGCTGTTCACAGACTAAGTCCCCTTAGAGTCGCCAATGCATTTCGCACTGTATCCGATGATGCCGCGTGTGTCATAGCCAGAATGATGCCGATTGAAGTACTAGCAGAGGAACGAAGATTACTGTACCGGCAAAAAGGATGGACCTCACTGAGCCCAACCGAGCTCAAGGCAGAGGCGAGACGTAAGAGCATGGATAAATGGCAGTCCCAATGGGGCACCTCTCCGAAAGGGAGATGCACGCATCGCCTGATCCCGCAAGTAAGTGCTTGGGTAAACCGTGAACATGGTGAAAAAAACTACTACTCAACACAGTTGCTTTCAGGACATGGGTGTTTCCGAGGGTATCTTCATAAATTCAAACATGAGGATTCCCCGGATTGCCTGACGTGCCCGGGTATTGAGGAAGACGCAGAGCATGTGTTTTTTGTATGTTCACGTTTCAGAACGAGCCGCTCGGAGAACGGAGCCGTCGAAAGAACGCTGTATAGAAGGAAGACCTACCGGAACCTCCCTCTCACCGCTAACATCTGAGTGAGGTAGGAGGACGTACGGACCAATGGTTTGAACAGAGGAAGAGCAACAGCTGATGTCCCCTCCGTGAAGTAATGCCTGCTTGCGGTTCCGCGGGGATGTGGGGTTAGTAGAAAAGAGGATAAAAGGGGGTTTTACTGCGTACAAATCTCAGATCGGGTTTCTAATATCACTTTACCAGAATCTTTTGAAGATTTCCCTCAAACCTCTTAAAAAAAAACACACACACATACACACCCTTCTCCCCACCTATGAACTGCAGCACCTTGTCGATGGTGGAGGGGCTTAAGGGGTGTTCCCAAACTAAGAAGCAGTTCGAACCGATGTCTGTCCTTTTCAGGACATCATTGAAGAGAAGCCCAACTTCAAAGGAGGCGTACCGGGTGCGCTCTCTACAACAGCCTGCTCTAATGTCAAAGTGTTTACCGTGCTAAGTTCTGGTTGGCGTCGCGAACGGTGGTCCCTGGGGCACCAGGTCCCACCCCAAGTGTATTAAGTGACCTAGCCTCAGTAACCGGGGCTCTACTGAGGTGGTCCGTTATTTCCCTAGGTACTCGTGCGAACAAGATGGATTTGAATAAAAACAAACAAAATGGAGATGAGAAGCAGGGCAACCTGGCTCAAAAATCGGAGTCAAGTGATGTCCCACCATAAAGAAGATGTGGGACAGGCATGAACAGCTTATTGCTGACCGAATGACCTACATGAAGGAGAAGAGGAGCATCAACGCTCAAGCCCGAGAGTTCGTAAACTCCATCAGCACCTCAGCTAAACGGCTCATGCAACTAGGCGGACATGGAGGACAGACTAGGCCGTTGCCGGTCACACCGGCAACCTTACTTCTAGGACGAACGCGGACGCTTTCTGAATGCACTGCGCCCTCGATCGACTCGGAGTTTGAGGATGAGAGCTCAGCTCTCTCTGACAACAGCAAGGCTTCCAAGATGAAGAGGAAGTCGCGAGAGTCAGAGACAGGGACCTCAAGAAGAAGAAGGATGAGTCAAAGGTTGCTCACGTCCAGAGCAAGAATGAAGATCCACCTGCAAAGTCCTCGGACTGGGAGCAGATCACGACGAGAAAGGACAAAGAGAGAGAGAGGCAGAAAGCGGGAGCATCGAAGAAGCCGCCCCAGAAGAAGGAGAACAAGAAGAATAGACTGGAGAAATCAGCGGCGAGGCCGAATGCGCTCATTGTCCCTCCAAAGGACAAGGCAAAGTACTCGGACATCCTCAGCCGAGTCAAGAAGGATGCCTCTTCTAAGGAGGCAAGTGCTTGCGTCGACAAAATCCGCAAGACGACCACAGGAGATCTGCTGATTATCCTCACAAAAGAGAATGCTGACCGAGCCAATGACCTTCAAAGGACCATAGCTGCGCTCCTCGGAGATGAAGCCGACGTCCTGAACAATGGGCCGCAGGAAGACCTCGAGATCAAAGATCTCGACGAGCTGACAACGAAGGAGGAGGTGCTCGGGGCCGTGAAAGATGCAGCGGGAGCGGAATGTGAGATCTCCTTAGAAGCAATCAGATTCCTCCGCAAGGCTTATGGAGGCACACAGCCCGCAACGGTGACATTCCCGAAAACCAATTCAATTGGCTGGAAGGTTAGCCATTTCGACCTTGACACGTTTTTGGTTGCGCTAGACGCTCGCCCAATCGATGGTAGAAATGTCATGGAGAAGGTCAGCGAGATCTTGAGGAGAGTCACGGACACTTGGGATGCTAGCATGCCTCGAAAGCGCACTCAAAGCCGGCTCCCACCGGTACATTGGTGGAATGATCGAATCGCTACCCTCCGTAAGGAGTATCTCAGGGCGAGGAGGTTATCACAACGTAGCAGGAAAAGGCCAAATTCCAAAGAACTGGAGGCCCAATACAAGAGTGCGCGCCGAGAACTGAATAAGGCAATCAAGTGCAGCAAGAGGCAAGGCTGGAAGGAGCTAGTGGATGGAGTTGAGGATGAACATGGGGAAGGCCCTATAAGGTTGTGATGAGAAGTCAGCCGATGCCCTCACCGACATGTCCCCAGCTCCTGGAGAAGATCGTCTCGGTGCTGTTCCCTCAACAAAGAAAGCTCAACCGGCTATCAACACAATGTGAGGTGGAGGCCATCTCGCCTATCACAGAAGATGAACTGATGGAAGCATGCGGTAGAGTAGGCCATACCAAAACCCCTGGTCCAGATGGTATACCAAACATTGCGCTGAAAGCAGCTGTTAAGGCAGTGCCAGCGCTGTTTTTGGATGCTTACAATGCATACATAACTGAAGGTTACTTCCCTCCGAAGTGGAAGCAGCAGAGGCTAGTGCTTTTCCCGAAAGGGCAGAAGCCGCCGGATGAGCCATCATCTTATCGTCCACTCTGCATGTTGGACACACCCGGGAAGATCCTTAAGCGAATCGCTCATAGGAGGATCGAAGCAGCAGTCGACCCGCTGCTTGCTGATGAACAACATGGCTTCCGAAGGAATCACTCCACCTTGGATGCTATTGACATCGTCGTCAATACAGCCAAGGATGCGATTTCGGGAACCCGATGGAGAGGGGGCACAAAGAAGTACTGTCTGGTAGTAACACTAGACATCAAGAATGCCTTCAACTCTGCCAGGTGGGATTGCATCATGAGAGCTCTTGAGGCTTTTCATGTGCCCGAATACCTGCAAAAATTGGTCAGGAGCTATTTCACCGACAGGATCCTCAAGTATGACACGCAGACTGGTCCCAAAGAGTACAGAGTCACCGGGGAAGTTCCTCAGGGCTCTGTGCTGGGTCCAATGCTGTGGAATATCATGTATGACGGACTCTTGAAACTGACCCTGCCAAATGACGCGAGGCTTGTGGCATTTGCGGACGACGTTGCTGTGGTGATTGTGGCGAAATATCTGGAGGAGATCCATTCGACCTAATCTTGGAGGAGATACGTCGGTGGATGGACACAGTGGGGCTGACACTGGCAGAACACGAAACGGAGACCGTGCTGATTACTAGCCGGAAAAAAGTTGAGACAATCACGCTGAAAGTTGGAGATTATGAACTCAATTCCCAACCGTTCATTCGGTACCTAGGGGTGATGATTGATACTCGCTTGAACTTCAAGCAGCAGGTGGAACACGTTGCAACCAAGGCCTCGGGGGTTCGAACACTTATTCCGCCTCATGCCAAACATTCGAGGTCCCACAAAAAAAGAAGAGCGCTGCTGTCCACGGTAGTGACGTCAGTGCTGAGTTATGGGATTCCCATCTGGGCCGATGCGCTCCAGTTCCAGGAATCTCGGCGTAAGACCGCTTCCGTCTATCGGCAGAGCACCCCGAGAGTTGCTAGCGCGTACCGCACAGTGTCGGAAGATGCAGTTTGTGTGATCGCCGGAATGCTGCCCATCGAAGTATTGGCTGAAGACCGAAGGTGTCTTTACCGGCGGAGAAGGTACAGTACATTGAGCCCAAAAGATCTCAGGGAAGAGGAGAGACGATACAGCACCAGCCGATGGCAGGTGTTGTGGGATACCTCAGCGAAAGGAAGGTGAACTCACCGTCTAATACCACAGTTAGATGTTTGGCTGAACCGTCCCCACGGAGAGGTCAACTACTATCTGACATAGATGCTCTCAGGACATGGATGCTTCCGGAAGTATCTTCATAAATTCAAACTTGAAGAGACCCCGGAGTGCCCGACCTGCAGTGGAGAAGGAGAGGATGCTGAGCACGTGTTTTTCAGGTGCAAACGCTTCGCATGGCTTCGCAGTAGCTGGGAGACTGCAATGGAACAGAGAGTCCCACCTGAAGACCTAGTGAAAGTCATGATTTCATCGAAAGTAGTGTGGGAGGCCACGAGCACGTTCGCAGCCGAAGTTCTGAAAGAATTTTGACGCGAGGAGCAGGCCAGGAGGAAGTAATGAGAACATCCGAGAAGAAGGAAGCATTGTCTTCGACCACCTGATGGGAGAGCTGTGGCTGAGAGCATACCTGTGAAGTAATGCCTAACGGCGGTTTCGTGGGGGGAGTAGAATTACAGGGTCGTGGTCTGTTTTTTAGTCCGCATGAGTTGCAAATTTTCCGAGCTGAAAGCAGGTTCCACTTACCGGGAGTGAGACCTGGGCTCGTGGTCGTTACCGTCAAGACCTGACCGACTCGGGCACAACGTGCGTAAAGAGCATCTTCCAGACCATGACGTAGGAAAAAAAAACACACGCATCAAATGCACAGCCACTGGATACAGAGCTTCAGACTGTAAGGAGAGGCCCCTATGCGCCTTGTGTTCTGATATCAAAGGCAACAGGGAGGATTGTGCCCACATTGCTGGTAGCAGTAAATGCCCAGTGTATAAGGAGACACTCCAAAAGGTCCTCAATAAACGACGATGAAGGTACTCCAACTAAACCTCAACCATTGTGAAGATGCACACGACCTGCTTATACAGACCGTGCGGGAGTGGAAGCTTGGACTTGTCATGATCTCAGAGCCGTATCGACACCCCGGCACCCAATCCTAGATGACTGACGCTAGCAGGAAGGCTTTAATCTGGACTTGTCGGAAACGGCACTAAGGGCAGTAGTATATGAGATGGCTTCGTCAAGGCTAAGGTAATGATAGAATCCATTTCTATATGCCCCACCGCGCCTTTCCATCCATCAATTTCCGGAATTCCTGGACAGACTGACTGAGGATGCGAAGCAGCACTTTCCCGTGGCAATAGCCGGAGACTTCAATGCTTGGGCAGTTGACTGGGGAAGTAAGGAGACCAATAGCAGAGAGAAAGCTGTACTGGAAGCCATGTCATCGTTGGATGTGGTTGTATTGAACAGCAGCGATGAACCGACTTTCATGAGGGGAGAGGCGAGCTCAATTGTGGACCTTAGATTCGTGAGCAGCAACCTCGCAAAGGGGAACTGCTCATGGAAAGTAATGGATACGTACACCGCAAGCGACCACCGTGCGATAGTTTGGGAGACATGTACTCACCAGAGAGTTGCCTCAACTTCTAAGAAAAACAACTACATTTGCTGAAGAATGAGCACCTTCCATCCTAGCTCTTATCTAGTCGCACTGGACGATCGCCTGATTAGTGGCAAAAATGCTACTGAAAAGGCACGGAATATCATGAAAAGAGTGACAGAAGCATGCGATGCCAGCATGTCCAGGAGACGGACAGCACACCGGAATCCATCTGTATATTGGTGGAATGACACTATCGTCATTCTACGAAAGGAATGTAATGCTGCCAGGAGACTGTCTCAGCGTGGCCGTAAAAAGCCAGACTTCGAGGGGCTGCAGTGGAGATATAAGGAAGCACGCCGGAAGCTCAGCAAAGCGATCAAATTTAGTAAAAAACAATCTTGGAGTGAGCTCCTTGATGAGGTAGACAGTGATCCATGGGGGAGACCGTATAAGGTGGTAATGATGCGACTCAAGAGTCAATCAATGCCATCGCCTACGTGCCCTGTGCTGATGGAGAGAATTGTCACGGTGTTGTTCCTCCAACAGCCAGAGCATCACTGTACTGGTGAACGGGGAAAAGAGTTATCGGTTCCACCACTCACCAAGGAAGAATTGATGGAAGCATGCAATAGAGTGGGTAACACCAAGGCCCCTGGTCTTGACGGAGTTCCCAATGTCGCACTGAAATCAGCTATTCATGCAATTCCGGAACTATTCTTGAATGTCTACACCGAGTGTTTAGGAGAGGACATCTTACCGGCCATGTGGAAACAGCAGAGACTAGTATTGCTCTCAAAAGGGAATAAACCACCGGACGATCCTTCATCATACCGTCCCCTCTGAATGCTAGATTTCGCTGGCAAGATCCTCGAGCGAATGATCTACCGAAGGATAGAAGCAGCGGTCGAACCCTTGTTGGCCAATAACCAATAGGGGTTTCGAAAAGGGCGATCCACCCTAGACGCTATCAACCTGGTCGTTAACACCGCTAAGGACGCGATATCAGGGAAAAGATGGCTGAGTAGTACAAAGAAGTACTGCTTGGTGGTCACGCTAGATATCAAGAATGCTATCAAATCGGCCAAATGGGAGCGTATTATTGAGGCATTGGTGAAATTGAATGTACCGGGATACTTGCAGAGAATGGTCGGCAGCTATTTCACTGGAAGGGTCCTTAAATACGACACGGAGAGCGGCTCCAAAGAGTACAGAGTCACCGGACGTGTACCGCAAGGTTCCGTATTGGGTCCTCTATTGTGGAAGATCACGTATGACGGGCTACTGAAGCTGAAATTGCGGCGTGTTACCGGATTGACTGCACTCTAGTTTATTAAAAGGCCACATGCTGGCATCTAATGACCTGATCAGTCATTGATTTCTCTATTGATACTTTTGAATAATAGTTATGCGTTGGGAGCGCTTCGCTGTCCGTTCGCTTGAGATCTCTAACGAAAACACGTGCATCAGAAATAGAGTCCATTAAATATCGAAGGTTTTTGTATTAAAGAGTTATTTTTAATTACGTACGGTGCAACACAAATATTTGAAACTCAGCTGTGGATTAATCAGTGACTTTTGAATAAACGATTGTTATCGCGAAATGTGTTTCCAGTGATTTAACCTCAATAACGTCTATCCGGATCCAGTTGCCTAGACTAACACGGCGGGATACTAAACTCATGGCATTTGCGGATGACGTGGCGGTAGTCATTGTGAGCAAATACCTGGAGGAGATCGAACTCAATTTTGACACAACCTTCGAGACGATTCGCCGTTGGATGGATACAGTAGGCCTGAAATTGGCAAAACACAAGACAGAGGCTGTACTGATCACCAGCAGAAAAAAAAACCGAGACAATGACGCTGTAGGTCGGGTCCTGTGAAATCACCTCTCAGCCGTTCATCCGATACCTGGGGGTGATGATTGATGCCCGACTCAATTTCAAGCAGCAAGCGGAGCACGTGGGTGCCAAAGCGTCTGGAGTTAGATCCACATTATCACGTCCATGCCCAACATTGGAGGCCCCAAGCAAAGAAGTCGAACGCTACATTCAGTGGTTACGTCGGTGCTCACATATGGTATTTCCATTTGGGCTGACGTACTCGAGGTGCAGGCAGCACGCCGTAGGATCGCAACAGTCTATCGGCTGAGTGCTCTGCAAGTTGCGAGCGCTTACCGGACAGTATCGGAGGACGCAGTGTGTGTCGTCGCCGGGATGCTCCCCATAGAAATATTGGCTGAAGAACGATAGTCATTGTACCAGCAGAGGAAATCGAAAGCACTGAGTGCAGTAGAACTCAATGCAAAAGAGAGGCAGAAGAGTCTGCAGCAATAGCAGCTCAAGTGGGACACCTCAACCAAAGGAAGATGGACACACTGTCTGATCCCACAGGTAGGTGATTGGATAAACCGCACCCATGGTGAGGTTGATTATTATCTCACGCAAATGCTCTCGGGACATGGGTGCTTCCGGGCGTATTTTCATAAATTCAAACATGAGGATACTCCAGAGTGCCCGGTCTGCACAGGAGTTAACGAAAATGCGGAGCATGTATTTTTCAGATGCCCCCGTTTCAGTGAGAGCCGGAGTACTTGGGAAGTAGTCCTTAAAAGGGAAGTCCTGCCTGAGAATCTGATGCAAGCTATGCTGTCACCGCAGGCAGCCTGGGAAGCAACGAGCAACTTTGCAGCAGCAGTTATGAAGGAGCTCAGAAGTGAGGAACGCAAGTGAAAGGCTGCAGCATAGGTGAGAAATCTGCTGGAACCTCCTACCCACACCCAACACCCTAGCTGGATAGGAGGATGTACTTCAGATGCAAAGAATGTGGAAGAGCTGATAGCTGAGACCCCCTTCGCGAAGTAATACTTAGCGGTGGTGCCGCGAGGGACAAGGCACAGATAATTAGAGGTACAAAGAGGAAAACCGGGTTTTTACTGGGTAAAAATCCCAAATCTGGTTTTAACATCCCTTTACCAGAATCTTTTGAAGATTTTCCCAAACCTCTATAAAAAAACACACACACACAGAAATGTGTTCAAAAACATCATAGAAACATTTCAGGAGTCATGAAACGTGGAGATATTATGAAATTTCCACTTTCGATTTTCGGGGTCATTATAATAAGTTCCCCCTTCGGGTCGGGGAGATGAAAAAAGAAAGAAGAGAGAATTATGGATAGCTCCTGCTGTGATATACATTGTGTAATTTTTTTCTGTGATTTTTTCTTACTGTGAGATTTTTTTCTATGATTTTTTTTCATTGTGACATTTTTTCGAGATATTTTTGTGTAAATTTAGAAATGTATTTAATGAAGGAACTATTCACAGGTCAATGGAGAATAAATTTCAATAGAGCTGGTGGAAGTTAAAAAAAGAATTAAAAAAATGAAAAATGATAAAATCACGAAAAAAAATTGATTGATATATGAGAAAAGGGGAAAAAAGATAATCACAACAAAGTAGTGAAGAGAAATCTGAGTTATCGATAAAGGCTACAAATTAGAAATCAAATTCTTGTTTGTTCGTATATCGATTTTCTGGGTGATGACGAATCAATTTAAGTACGCTGAATTTGTCGATAATTTAGATTCCTATTTGAAATTTTTGTGTGTTTAGAGATTGTTTTTCTCATCTCCCATGCACATAATATTCCAGAGATATGGTACAAAGCACTAGATCATTCCAAAATACCTGTGTCATGAACCACTCGATTTCCTCCAAAAAATATATAATTATATTTCCCGCTGAATGTTCTCTTTGAAATCGACGGAATTTGACGGACAACTGTTTATGGCTGCTTCAATGAGTAATGAATCTAATGATATCTTCATGACTTTTCGAATCTTTCGATGGT